CCCTGGGCTGAGTGAATTTGGGATGTACAAGCACCCTCTAGACCCCCACTGCCCTTCTGTCCCCCGGTGTCCCTGTGTCCCCCCCCCAGGACTCGGGGCTGGCGAGCACCAGCCTGCGGACACTGACGGAGAGGCTGCAGGAGCTGGCACAGGACATCCAGGGCCTGGTGCTGGGGGGGCCACCAGCAGAGGCTGCCCCCCGGCCACCCCCCCTGGCCCTCCTGGCCCGTGTCGTCGACCTGGTCGGGGCTGCCAAGGGGCTCTTCTCCTGGCTCAACAGGTCTGGGGGTGGGTGGGGGCACCCATGGGTGCTGGGGGCACCCCTTGCCCAGGTCTGAGCTCTCTCTGTGTGTCCCCCCCCTCCCCAGGTACCTCTTCTCCACCCTCAATGACTTCTCAGCCAGCAGGGACATCGTCCTGCTCTGTGCCCAGCTGGCAGAGACGCTGCAGGAGGTGGGTGCCCGGGGTGGGGGGGGTGCCCCACGCTGCCCCGAGGCCATGGTGATGGGCACGGTGTCAGGGTTGGGGAAGGGAAACCAGCCATCTACTTGCCCATTCCCCCAAAACTCTGCCTGCTGGAGGAGGGGGGAGAGCTGGGGTGATGGGGGATGTGGTAAAAGGGGGGGTGGTTCCCTGTGGGGCCCCCCCAGCTGGGATGGAGGGGACTGAGCCACCCCGTTCTGCTCAGCCCCACATTTTGTGTCCCCCCTCCCCAGGACTGCCCCCCGGCTGAGAGGGACAGCCAGATCCTGCAGATTGTAAGTGCTGGGTGAGGAGGGGGTGTTGGGCATGGGAGGGGGGGGGCCAAGTGCTACCAGGGTGTCCCCCCTCAACCTTCCCCCCCCCCACTGTTGGGAGGGGGGGGGCCAAGTGCTACCAGGGTGTCCCCCCTCAACCTTCCCCCCCCCCACTGTCACCCCCAGTGCCAGCACATCGTGGGCATCTGCGAGAACATTGTGGGCTGCAGCCCCCCCACGCTGCTGGACCGCAGGGCTGTGCTGCAACGTGTGGGGCTGGTGCTGCCCCCCAGCCCACGGGGCAGCCCCCCGTCGTCCCCCGACACCCTGGCGTTGCCTTCTGGCCTGGGGGATGTGGGAGCTGTGGCTGGGGAATTGTGTAGGACACAGGAACCGTGGCTGGGGAGATCAGTGGGATCTGCAGCCAGGGAGGATGTGGGGGATGCGGGAGCTGTGGGGCTGGGCAGCCGTGGGGCGGTGTGGGGCCGGGGCCACGGCTCACCCGGGGATGTGCAGGTCGTCAACCTGGCCAAGAAGCTGCTGGAGAAGGCGAGTGGGGTGACACTGGTGCTGAAGAAGATCCCCCTCGACCTCCCCAGATCGCCCCCCTCTCCCAGGCAGCAGGTGAGTGATCCCAGTGCTCCCAGTACAGCCCGTGCCATGCTGGGAACCGGGCAGGGATGCTCAGAGCTGGGCATCTCCCACCACACTGGTGGTCCCTAACACTCTGGGGGGCCATGGTGGGAGATGGGCTGGTCCCCCGACACCCTGGCGTTGCCTTCTGGCCTGTGGAGGAGCCCCCCAACATCTCCTGACACCCCAACGCAGCCCCACAGCCCGTGGGGGAGCCCCCCGATGTCCCCTGACGCTCCAGCACTGCCCTCTGACACACTGGGAAGACCCCCATCGCTCCCCACTGCCCCCATGCTGGGAACCGGGCAGGGATGCTCAGAGCTGGGCATCTCCCACCACACTGGTGGTCCCTAACACTCTGGGGGGCCATGGTGGGAGATGGGCTGGTCCTGACACTCCATCCCCACAGCTCCCAGGAGCAGTTGTGGATATTGGGGATCCCCCCGGCAGCAGGAGAGGCGAATGCCCAGGGAGCCCCGTGTCCCTGACCTCCAGGTGAGCCCTGTCCCCTGAGACCCCAACACCCCCAGCCTGGAGGGGTTTGGGTGCCCCTTCCTAACTTTTTTTTTGGGGGGAAGAGGTGCCGGCAGCGCAGCAGCTGCCTGTGAGTTGCTGGGGAAAGCTGGCAGCGGTCTTAAGGAATGAAAAGGAACAAGGAAAAAAAAAAAAAACCAAGTTAAAAAAAAAAAAAAGTGGCTGTGTTTGTAATTCATTCACTTGGTAACGTTTTAATGGGGTTGAAACTATATTTAGACATGACCCTTCTCCTCTCCCGGAATGGAAAGGCGTGTGCGGAGCCGGCGACAGGGAAAACCGAGGGTGCCCCGAGCGAGAGCGGGGCCGGACGGACCCCAACAGTGGGACCCCCCTCCCCTGCCACCCCCACAGCCGTCGGGGGGTGTTGTTTTGGCTCAGGGCTCCCTTCTCCCCACAGCGCTGCTGCGGACTTGGACTCGGGGCCAGACTCGGCGCCGGATCCTGTCACCGACGAAGAGGACGGAGGGGACGAGCGGGACTCGGAGCTGCCCGGCTGTGGTAGGAGGGGAGCAGAGGGGGGGTCTGGGGACAGGATGGTTTATCCCCCCAGGATGGGAGGCTGGAGCCCTGCTGGCTGTTTGCAGGTCCTTCAGAGGAGGAGGCGGCGTGGGAGGGTGAGACCCCGCTGGGCACCCCCCCCTCCCCGGGTGTCCCCGCTGTCACCGGACCCTACGTGTCAGAGCTCAGCCCCACGGCAGCCCCTGCCACGGGGGCTGGGGGTGCAGAACCCGGCCAGGTCCCCGAGGAGGTGAGAGTGGGTGGGAGAGGAGAGCTGAGCATTGAGGGGGGGGTCCCTGGGGAGACATCAGTGGGGGACATGCAGGACTCCGTGTCCTGACAGAGCTGGGAGGCAAAATGCCCATCCCTTGGGTGGGATTCCCCTCTGAGCTCACTGCTGTGGGGTGTGTGAGTTGTGGGGGGTCCCTAAGGGGCTGGGGGTGCTGCTGGGGGTCTCAGCTAGTGCTGCCCTGCCCTCACCCCCCCAGCATGATCCCTAACTCATCTCTGTCTCCCCATCCAGGGCAGCCCGCGGACGGGACGCAGACCGAAAGGTGAGTGGGACCCCACCAGGGCTGGGGCAAACGGGGCTGGGGGGTCTCCCCCGGGCTCTCCCCCCTGCTATTAACCCCCACCCCCACCACCACTGTGGCCAGCAGGAGTGGCGACCAGGCTGAGCCGCCGGCGGGTCTCGTGCCGGGACCTGGGCCGGGTGGACTGCGATGGCTGGCTCCTGAAGAAGAAAGACCACGTGGGCTTCATGGCCCAGAAGTGGAAGCGGTGCTGGTTTGTGCTGAAGGGCCACACGCTCTACTGGTACAACCATCCCAACGTGAGTGGGGACGCTGGGTGTCCTCCATCCCCACCTGGGGCAGCCGAAGGCGGGCGGTGAACGTGGCTGTGTTCTCCTCACAGGATGAGAAGGCTGCGGGTCTCATCAACGTGGCCACCTACGACCTGGAGAGCACGAGGGAGCAGAAGAAAAAATAGTGAGTGGGGCCTCTCTCACCGTGGACCTCCCAGCTGGAGGTGGAGGGGAGGATGCTGTCCCAATTCCCCATCCCTGGAGGGGTTCAAGGCCAGGCTGGATGGGGCTTGGAGCAACCTGGGTTGGTGGGAGGTGTCCATGCCCAGGGCAGGGGGGTTGGAACTTGATGATCTCTAAGGTCCCTTCTAACTCTAACCATTCTATGATTCTCTATGATATAAAAATCATAACTAAGACTACCAAGGGCCCATGCTGATGAGTCCTACTGGGTACCACCTGCATGTCCCTGCGGTGATGGCAATGTCCCCACGGGGCTGGTGGGGTCCCTGCAGTGCTGGCAGGACCTCACATCTGACAATGATGGGAACCCATGCTTTGAGCCAGATGTACATTGTGCTACTGGTGTTATCTGGGCCGGGGCTGAGGAGCAGAGCATCTCTGATGGCAGGGAAAAGATCCCTGTGCTGGGTTGGGACAGGGGGGCTGTGGTGTGGGGGAGGCTGGAAGGGGGGCTTGGGGCTGGCTCTGGTGCTGGGTGACCCCAGCAGCAAGGGCTTGTCCTCCTCCCCAGCGTGTTCCAGCTCTCCCATCAGAGGTACAAGCCCTTCGTCTTTGCTGCAGAAACGTTGGCTGATTTGAGCATGTGAGTAACGCGCCGGTGGGTGACAGCCCGTTGTGGTCCCACCACACCAGGTTGGCCATCGCCCCCCATCTGCCCGACCATCCTTTCCTTCCCCAGGTGGGTCAGTCACCTCCTCACAGCCAAAAAGAAGTACGCCCTAGCCCACCAGTCGGTCCCAGACAGGGAGGAAGGTAACGATGCCGGTGGGTGACAGCCCTTTGTGGTCCCACCACATCAGGCTGGCCATTGCCCTCCATATGCCCAACCATCCTTTCCTTCCCCAGGTGGGTCAGTCACCTCCTCACAGCCAAAAAGAAGTACGCCCTAGCCCACCAGTCGGTCCCAGACAGGGAGGAAGGTAACGAGCCCTTCTCAGGGTGGGAGAAGGGGTCGGTTCTTCCCGAGGGACATGGGGACCCCAGGAGGAGCTGTGGGCTGGGGGTCCCGGTGGTGCTGCAGCCCCTGCAATGAGACCCCTGGGAGCTTTGCTCGTGATTTGGGGGATATGTGAGAAATGGTCCCTGAGAGGAGGGCCGGGAGGGGGGGATGCTCAGCCCTGGGGAGGGTGTAGGGGGGTTCCCACTCCCACCATCCTCCTCCGTGGCCTCCAGACTGCTACAGCGAGACAGAAGCCGAAGACCCTGATGATGAGTCCCCCAGGCACGGATGCGACTCGGTGAGTGGCCCCAGGGGAGATCCTGGGGAGGAGACAGGAGATCCCCCATCTCACCTCCCGCCCCCTCTCTCCCCCAGCCAAAGAAGAGGCTGCAAAACGCCCCGGAGAGAGCCCAGCTCTTCATGGCCAGCGGCGAGTCCAGCAGCACAGCCAGCAGCCCCCAGGGCAGCCCCCGGCCCTGCTCGCCCGTGGGTAGGTGCTGGGGGGTGACATCAGTCACCCTGTCACCTTTAATCGAAGTTAGGGCCACCCTTTTGTGGGGGGGTGTGCTGGTGGGGGGGGATAATTCAAGTTGGGATGTATTTGCGTGAGAACCACATGGTGCCTTGGGGATGCTCTTGGGGCAGGGTTCTCCTGTGGGGGCAGCCCCGTGGGGTTTTGGGGCTGGCCCCCCCGTGCTACGGTGCCCCCCTCTCCTCACCCAGAGCCCGCCGGGGAGGATCTCGAGTGCCTGATGCGGTGCCTGAAGCAGGGGGGGGTGTCCCTCATCGGGCGGCAGCGGTTCCTGACGCAGGAGCAGTGCCGCAAGTCCTTCATCCGGCGCAACAAGAACCCCCACATCAACGAGAAGGTGCACGTGGTGCGGGCCCTGCAGAGCACCCTCAAGGTGGGAACCCACAGATTTCCCCCCCACAGTTCCCCCGTAAAGCCCAGGGACAGGGCTACCTGGAGGTCAGGGACACGGGGCTCCCTGGGCATTCACCGCTCCTGCTGCCGGGGGGATCCCCAATATCCAAAACTGCTCCCGGGAGCTGGGGATGGAGTGTCAGGACCAGCCCGTCTCCCATCACGGCCCCCCAAAGTGTTAGGGACCAGTAGTGTGGTGGGAGATGCCCAGCTCTGAGCATCCCTACCCGGTTCCCAGCACAGCCCAGCGCGGCACGGGCTGTACTGGGAGCACTGGGATCACTCACCCACTGCCTGGGAGAGAGGGCAAGCCAGGGAGGTCGAGGGGGATCTTCTTCTGCCCCAGGGGCAGGTGACCACCCCAAAATGCACCCATCCTCTCGGCAGGCGAAGGTGGAGGAGCTGCAGGCCCTGGAGCAGCTGCTGAGCGACGCTGCCCTCACCTCGGAGAAGTTCACCCGCTGGAAGGAGGAGCACCAGGAGCTCTACCAGGAGCTGCGGGAGTGGTGGGCACGGCAGGAGGGCCAGGACCCCCACGGGGGGCTCGGGGCCGAGCATGTTCCCCCTGAAGAAGCAGCTGAACCCTGACACCCCACCAGGACCTCTCTGGCACAATAAAATATTTTTTTAATTTTTATCTGCCGCTAAAAGTCCCGGTGCTGCAGGAGCAAAGCAGGTGCTCTGCCCATCCTGGGGGGGCTGCACGAGGGGCTTGAGGATTTTTGAAGGCTCAGCCCCCCAACATTGGACTTGCTGCAGGAGAATTGTCTTCTGCTCCATCCCCCCTCCCCGGGGTGGGACGTTGTAGTGACAGTCTTGCTTTTTTTTTCCAAAGACATTTTGCCTTGGCTGCGTTTTGGCAACGGGGCAAGAGGGCAGGGGGGGCTTTTCCTGGAAGAACATGCCCCCCACCACACACACCGACCCAGCCTTTTCTGCTGGAATTAAAACTGTGTCGACAAGGGCTGATGTTTCTTCTTGGAGCTGGAATGTCCTGTGCCATGTGCCACCATCCTCAAGGGGTTGTGGCATCCCCTCTGTGCCTCTGCTCCCTCCTCTCTCCCCAGCCCAGCTTGGGGACAATGACACCCACCCCTGGACAGGATTGGGCTCTGATGGTGCTGCGAGGCCAGGAAGGGCAATAAAGCAGGGAAAATGTCTCGGGAAGGACTGGGGTCTTCTGGGGGGTTTGTGCAGCTCACAAGGGGGAAGGGGAGAGCGTGGGGAGGATGGGGAAGGAGATGTGGTCACCCCTGGAAATGGCAGAAGGGTCCTGCTCCTCCCCGTGCCACCCAGTCCCTTGCAGACATGCTACAGCTGGGTACAAGGATGCTCTTCATTTAAGCAGCAGCTGCAGAGGCTAAAACCTGCGTGAGGATTAAAGCACAATCAAGTAACAGGTGAGTGAGTGAAAAATTAAGAGTGAGAAGAGGTAAAAAGGGGAAACGGACCAACCTCTTCTTCCAACCAGTGGTGGTCCAAGGTACGTACAGGGATGGCCACAGCAGGAGGCTGAGGAGCTGCTGTCACCCCACAGCGAGCAGCACGATCCCCATGATGCTCATGGCGGGGACCAGTCTGTCCCAGCACCTCAATAATCCATGTTGTAAGGGGCAGCAGGTGGCCTTGGGACAAACCCCCTCTTCCCAAGTCATATGAGGAGAGAACAAGTCATATTGGGAGAGGCTGAGGGAACTGGGCATGTTTCGTTTGGAGAAGAGGAGGGTGAGGGGAGACCTCATTGCCCTCTACAACTCACTGTGTGCAGGTCTGGAGCCCTCAATATAGGAAGGACATGGACCTGATGGAGCGAGTCCAGAGGAGGGTCACGAGGATGATCAGGGGGTTGGAGCACCTCTGCTCCGAGGACAGGCTGAGGGAGCTGGGGTTGTTCAGCCTGGAGAAGAGGAGGCTCTGGGGAGACCTAATAGCAGCCTTCCAGTACCTGAGGGGGCTACAGGAGAGATGGGGAGAGCCTGTTTACAAAGGGCTGCAGTGACAGGACGAGGGGCAATGGCTTCAAGCTGGAGAAGAGCAGATTTAGACTGGAGATTAGGAACAAGTTCTTTACTGTGAGGGTGGTGGAGCACTGGAACAGGTTGCCCAGGGAGGTGGTTGTGGCCCCTTCCCTGGAGATATTCAAGGTGAGGCTCGACAAGGCCCTGGGCAGCCTGGTCTAGTTTGGGGTGTTATATTAGCATATTCATCAATTTCTGAGAAATCATTTACATATTATAATAAGATTTGGGGCATATATAGCTGTGCCTTCTGGTGGTCCTCACTTTGAGTGAGGGTTGTTTCTTCCTCAAGCTTCCTCTTCTTCGCCTGTCCTTTGGCTCACTTTTCATGCTGGCAACACATTCTAACTGCTTAATTGCTCATTAAAACTAATGATCTCCCTGCTACCGCCTGTTTGTCAGACAATGTCCACATTTATCACCCCCCCCCCCCCCCCCTTTGTACCCCCCGCCCTCCGGCCCCACCACACCCAGTACCTGAGGGGGCTACAGGAGAGATGGGGAGAGCCTGTTTACAAAGGGCTGCAGTGACAGGACGAGGGGCAATGGCTTCAAGCTGGAGAAGAGCAGATTTAGACTGGAGATTAGGAACAAGTTCTTTACTGTGAGGGTGGTGGAGCACTGGAACAGGTTGCCCAGGGAGGTGGTTGTGGCCCCTTCCCTGGAGATATTCAAGGTGAGGCTCGACAAGGCCCTGGGCAGCCTGGTCTAGTTTGGGGTGTTATATTAGCATATTCATCAATTTCTGAGAAATCATTTACATATTATAATAAGATTTGGGGCATATATAGCTGTGCCTTCTGGTGGTCCTCACTTTGAGTGAGGGTTGTTTCTTCCTCAAGCTTCCTCTTCTTCGCCTGTCCTTTGGCTCACTTTTCATGCTGGCAACACATTCTAACTGCTTAATTGCTCATTAAAACTAATGATCTCCCTGCTACCGCCTGTTTGTCAGACAATGTCCACATTTATCCCCCCCCCCCCCATCTTAGGTCACCGCGTTCTCAGGGCCACAGACATCCTTTCTTAGCAAGTCCTCGAAACCATTTTGGGAGGGCTGCTAAAACGGCTACATTTCTTCTTCTGAAAGAAGATTCTCTACAGTTTAACCGTTTATAAACGACGTAAAAATTTGCCTCAGGTATCACTCGCCCCTCAGCCTGGTGGCCTGGGGAGGCCCTGAGGGCTCGGTGGAGCCTGTACCGTGAGGGAACGTGGGGACAACAGTGAGGGAACGGCTGGGACCGACTGGGGAGCGGGCAGGGCAGGCCCCGCTGCCCCACACGACTCGGGGCTGGTCGGGGCTGGGGCTTTGGCCTGTGCCGGAGCCGGGGATCGAACCGGCGGCCACCACCACCATTGCGCATACGCAGAGCAAAGCCCGGTCCCGTTCCCTCAAGCCCCGCCCTACGGGTGGCGGCTGCAGCCAATCTTCCTCCGCCAAACGCCGCCGAAGCTGCGGGGCGGGAGGAACTCAGCGTCCCGGCGAGCCAATGAGAGAAGGGCATGGGCGGGGCGGGCGCGTCCGATAGGCTGAGGGGTAGGGAAGGGCGGGCGGGGCCCCGCCTACTTTTTTTCTCCGCCACGCCCCCCTCGCGGCGGTAACGGTCGCGGCGCGCGGGGCAGCGCGGGCGCCGCGGCGGAGGCAGGTGAGGGGGAGGGTGTCGGGCCCGCTCGGGAGCCGTCTCGGCGGTGGGTCTTACGGGCACCTCCTGTGCTTCCCCCCTCGGTGAAACCATCCCTCCTCATCTCGTGTGGGTTGCTCAGCGCCCCGCTTCCCCTCAGGGACCGGCTCCCCCCGCACCTTCCCCTCAGAGACCGGCTCCCGGCGCCTTCCCTCCCCTCAGGGGCTGGGCCCCCGGCGCCCCTTTTCCTCTCAGGGACCGGCTCCCCCTAAACACATCGTTCCCCTCAGGGACCGGCTCTTCTCCCCCTCAGATACGGGCCCCCGGCGCCCCTATTTCTCTCAGGGGCTGGGCCCCGGCGCCCCTTTTCCTCTGAGGCACCGGCTCCCCCCAAGCACACCGTTCCCCTCAGGGACCGACCCTCGGCGCCCCTATTCCCCTCAGGAATTGGGCTCCGGCGCCCATTTTCCCCTCAGGCACCGATTCCCCTTCCCCTCAGAGACTGGCCCCCGGCGCCCCTGTTCCCCTCAGCGGTTGGGCCCTGGCGCCCCTGTTCCCCTCAAGGACCGGCTCCCCTTCCCCTCACAGACCTCGGGGTCACCCTGCGCCTTCCAGGGGGTTCCCCCTGCCCGGGGTCAACCGCCTTCCCCTCTCCCCTCCCAAATCACTTCTTGTCCCCATCCCATTCTGAGGAGCCGAGGGCTGCCCCCCCCCCCCCCCCCCCCCCCCCCCCGAAGCCCGTGTTGTCGTAGTGCGAGCCACCAAGCTCTCCCCCTCCATCCAGTGAAGCACTGCTCCCCCCTCTCTTGGTGACCCACTGCTCACTCCCCTTCCTTTTTCTCCTTCCCTTTTTCCTTATTTTTGCACGTGTTCCTTCCCACCCCCTCTGCAGGGTCTGCCCTGTGCCTGCTGCTGGAAGGTGATGGTTTATGGGGTGGTGTGGGTGCTCTCTGGGGGGGTGGTGGTGCAGAGGGAGGTGGGAATGCTTTGGTTGCTTTGTCTGTTTCATTTCAAGGGAACATGCTTGAATTTCCCTGTTATAATTGTCTGTCTGTAGTGCTGGAGACTAAGATTTAAACTCGGGAGTCTGAAACATCCTTGAATTAAACATGATAAGCACTAGATTTACCTAGAAATGTTTTATTTCTTAGTAAAATGCTACTTCTGATTCATTATTTATCCTATTGTGTTCCCAATGTCTATCCTATGTTAGAAAATTTGTATGTATATGTAATGGTTTCCATGAGCTGTTTGAATCTGCCAAGCAAAAATCTGTAAGAGCTGGTAATTGAGGACTTAATATTTGACTGGTGGGGGGGAAAGTGGCCTTGAATTTCCACGGTAAAGCCTGAGAGCCATAAATCATACTCGCATCATCGGAGGCAGGAAATTCACTGCCTGAAGTACTCAGCTAAGCAGATAAATTAAACCAAAGCTCTGGATAGATAATGATTGCCATTTATGGAACAGCAACCCAAAGTTTTGAATGACTGCATTTCTGCATGCAGTTGCTCAGTGACCTCTGCAGAGGGCAGAAAGGAACTGGTTTGGAGTTAAGACTTTTAAAGGGAAATTTTTAGTCTCTGTAGACATAAAGCCAGCGTGGAGGGTACCATGGTGACTGATGCTCTATAAATAACTGGGATGGGGATAACACATGCCCCGGTTGAAAGGCGCTGCTGAACTGCTGCATACCTGGAGTGTGTTGCAAACAGGAACTCTCCTCATTTCTCAGGCATGAGGAAAACCTACAATAACTGCAAGGGTTTTTAAGTGTTGCCTCTGTTGCTGTGGGGATGAAACAGAGATACCCTCGGGCTGAGTTGCTAATTAAATGTGAAATAATGTGTTGCTCTGAATGAAAAGTAGCTGATCTGTATGTACCCTTTGCTTGGTTAGTGCATACCCTCAGGCTGAGTTTGCTAATTAAATGTGAAATACTGTGTTGCTCTGAATGAAAAGTAGTTGATCTGTATGTACCCTTTGCTTGGTTAG